GCTCTTGTGATGCAAAAGTTTCGCTGCACTCTTTGCCGCCATCGAAAGCACAAGGAAAACCCTATCGAAGGGGTTAATACGAGTCGACGTCCTAGGTTTGTAGTGCTCAAGGTACCTTTGCCGCCATCATGGCGTTGAACGCAAGTTCTTTCAGTTATGCAGAGAGATGAGAGCCGGTAAGGACCTTCGTAGTAGATGTTACGTTGCGGTATGGCTCCTTGAGGCTGAGGATGTCTTCGAGAGACTCAAAATAAAACCAAGATGGCTTAGGGGGGGTGCAAATGAAAAAGCCGCGAGGGTCCTGAGCTACTCTGGCTTTAACGGCCAACGACTGCTCCCAAAAGAAAGTTTGTGTTTAGAAGCGGACCTGGAAGAGGATGCAAAGAGAACAGCATGATTTTTGTGAATTGTTCCATTTCATTCACTTTCTCTGTGGCTGGTGGTCATTCACACTGGACTGGCACCCCGGCTGCCCGCTGCGCGCGTCGAACATACATCGCTAAAGGTCGTTAATAGGCGATAAAGTGGAAGGCTGTAAGCATAGTCAATAAAGAACTAAAAGAACCACAAACTGTCACTTGCAAGCGGGATGATATACTCCTCATTGTTCTCAAACAGATTGACGTACGCTTACAAAATGGCGGTAGATGGATCCTTTGAGCTGAATTCATCTTGTACGAGACCAGGCACGAATGGTCGCAACCTTGACGAATCCTTACCTTACTACCTGACGATAAGCGATCCTATGTTCATTGCCAATAAAATAGACATTTGCTTTGTTCTATAGGGCTGACGGGTCCGGGTTGAACTCGGCCATAAACTACCGACAGGATCGGATTATTTAACCAGGAAGGAGGTTAAATGGGGATTACAAGGGAGCCCAGCAAGGTGTGAGTGAGGTGGTGAAGATGTGGCCAGTCTTGTCATATTTCACCGAGATGTAGGTGGTCTGAGAATAGAGCACAGGCTGTGGCGATGAGGTTGGGTGATACGTAGTAAGTTTGACGGATAGATTGATCAGAACACTAATCGTAACGGGTAAAGGTAACGGGTATCAAGCTTTGACTATCTGGTCCCAGCTAATCGAGGTTGTTGGATTCAACATGGGCTTCTTTCAGCTTCTATCCCTCGCTAGCTTATACCTCATATCATGCGTCGCGTCCCACAGACGATGGATGATGTTGGGCCTACCACGTTTGTAAATCTGCACTGGTATTACATACGAAATGCAGTGTCGACGTGCCGAGCCGACAAGGTACGTAAAAACGTAAAGCGGCGTGCTCTCGGCGGTGTAGCCGGTCCGCGTCTCTCCGGGCATCCGCATCCGCATCGCCAGAAGCCGGGAGGATCCCCGTAACCCGGCGATAACTTCAGACGTGAAGGATGGATGTCGGTTGATGAAGCCCGTGCTTGATGCTGTGAGGTGAAGTGAGTTGAGGCGAGTGAGTGATTTTGAAGATGTGGATTTACAGGGCCCTGTAACTAGAACTAGGCCGAGACGACACCGATCATGTCATGTCATGACATGTTGGGATTTATAGCATGGAAAAGGATTGGATTATCAATTTACGGTACTGTACTTGACCAATGCCTCGTCGACCACTGATAACAGCAAATCTCACGCCAGATTCATGGCTAAAGTCGATTCTTCAGGGGCATTCACGGGCCTCATCATCCCACCAGGTGCGAGTGCAGCCGCAAAAGCCCCGCCAGCGTCATCGCGCTGAGATTGACCCCCACCTGAACCTCTGTATTGTTTACTACTTCTTCCTGGTGCTCCCCTCCATAAACTCTCGTCTCCTCCCCTTCTTCCTTTCCTCGACATCACCACCTGTCAACCATCCTTTTCCTCATCTCCGAACAAACACAAAAGCTGAATCATGTCGCTGTCCAACAAGCTCTCCATCACTGACGTCGACGTCAAGGGCAAGAGGGTCCTCATCCGAGTAAGTAGAGCTGCTGCCCCGCGATTATGTTGAGCTCCCCGCATCGCATCATCAGATGTTATGGGCAATCCAGAAGTGGTTTTGCTAGAGAAGCAGCTGGGGTCTATTATCTGGACTTCATTTCAGCTTCAATCAATTGACTCGACTTCCCAAATCATAATTTCTTTCCTGTTAAAGCCTCAACATCAATACCCCGCCATCCCAAGCTCCAAAAGCTAAAGCTAACCCAACCCCTCACCAGGTCGACTTCAACGTCCCTCTCGACGCCGACAAGAACATCACCAACAACCAGCGAATTGTCGGTGCCCTCCCCACCATCAAGTATGCCCTCGAGAATGGCGCCAAGTCCGTCATCCTCATGTCTCACCTTGGCCGCCCCAACGGCTCTCCCAACGAAAAGTACTCTCTCAAGCCCGTTGTTGCCGAGCTTGAGAAGCTTCTCAGCAAGAAGGTCACCTTCGCCCCTGACTCTGTCGGCCCTGAGGTCGAGGAGATCGTCAACAAGGCTGAGGATGGTGCTATCATCCTCCTCGAGAACCTCCGATTCCACATTGAGGAGGAGGGTTCTTCCAAGGACAAGGAGGGCAACAAGACCAAGGCCGACAAGGCTCAGGTTGAGGCTTTCCGCAAGGGTCTGACCGCTCTTGGTGATGTCTACATCAGTGAGTAGCCCCAACATCATGGACCACCCAATATGTAATGCTGACAATAACAGACGACGCTTTCGGCACTGCTCACCGTGCTCACTCCTCCATGGTCGGTGTCGACCTCCCCCAGAAGGCCTCCGGTTTCCTCGTCAAGAAGGAGCTTGAGTACTTCGCCAAGGCTCTTGAGGAGCCTCAGCGCCCCTTCCTTGCCATCCTCGGTGGTGCCAAGGTCTCCGACAAGATCCAGCTCATCGACAACCTTCTTGACAAGGTCAACACCCTCATCGTCTGCGGTGGTATGGCCTTCACCTTCAAGAAGACCCTCGAGAACGTCTCCATCGGTAACTCCCTCTTCGACGAGGCTGGCTCCAAGACTGTCGGCAAGCTCGTTGAGAAGGCCAAGGCCAAGGGCGTCAAGCTCGTCCTCCCCGTCGACTACATCACTGCCGACAAGTTCGACAAGGACGCCAACACTGGCTACGCCACCGACAAGGACGGTATCCCCGATGGCTGGCAGGGACTCGACTGCGGCGAGGAGTCCGTCAAGCTCTACAAGGAGGCCATCGCTGAGGCCAAGACCATCCTCTGGAACGGTCCCGCTGGTGTCTTTGAGTTCGAGAAGTTCGCCAACGGTACCAAGGCTACTCTCGACGCTGTTGTCGACGCTGTCCAGAAGGACGGCAAGATCGTCATCATCGGTGGTGGTGACACCGCCACCGTCGCCAAGAAGTACGGTGTCGAGGACAAGCTCAGCCACGTCTCTACCGGCGGTGGTGCCAGCTTGGAGCTCCTCGAGGGTAAGGAGCTGCCCGGTGTTACCGCTCTGTCTAGTAAGTAAATAATATCCACTCTGTTGGAATACGAAGTACATGAACCTGTTGATGACGGGCTATGAAAATGGAAAAAGGTCGGGCGGGAAGGGCTAGCTTGTAGCAAAGCAAATAATCAAATACCAAATACCAATAGAACTGGCGGAAACGCCAATAAAAACATATCCACATGACCAAGCTGTTTTGTGAAATAGTTACTTATTGATTCATTAACCGACCCAGTCTATGATGGTCTATCCATGCCGCATTATCCCGTTTCTCTCCCTATCCTCATTTATCTTGATCTCTCATCGCGCTCCTTCATCCTTTCCCTCTCGCCCATCACAACCCCATCTTCACTCGTAGAATTCTCAGTACGTTGCTCGCCTGGAGACAGATTTGTCATGGGATCTTTAGTCGATGGTATCACGTCGTCTGGGTCAGGCACGGTAGGGTTAACGCTTGGTGTTGTACTTGGGGTTGGGTTCGGTGGTAGTGAGGCAAGCGCTTGCTGCGCTACATCCCGGAGATTCTCGGTTTGGGTACTCTATTTCTTCTTCGCCGCGTCGACCTTCTTGAGTTCCTCCCTGTACGTTGATTAGCGTTGACCGAATAGAGATTGGGTGGAGTGCGTGGACGTACTTTAGCTGCTTTGAGAAGTCATCGCTTGTGTCATCGTCGTCCCAGCTTTCTTCCCAGAGGTGCTTTGTCTCGCCGCTGCCCTTGGCAGCCTCGGTCTGATCCTCTTGCCAGTCTGTATCGCGCAATCACGTTAGTCTCGGTGTAACAATGCGATAGGAGAGGTGGATGTGTACCGTCGACGGGGAAGTCCTCAAACTCGTCGTCTTCGCCGAGAGCGGCAGGCTTCTGCTCTGGCTTTTGCTCGGCGGGCTTGTCGTCTGTGGTCTTGGGATCTGTGGATGCCATTATGAATGTGGTTTTTTGGTAGGTATTGTAGAGTGTGTCAGTGGAGAGGGACGTATGGATGGTTTGGCGTGGGTAGTGAGCTGTGGTTATGGTTATGGTCGGCTGTGGGGAGCTTGGTGATGATGAGGTAGCAGCTGGAGCCTTGCGGGCGAGGCGGGAGGTGGGGCGGAAGAACGATCGACCGGTGTGGATGTAGGGTAGACTTGGATCAGATCGTGATGGGACAAAGAAGCATGCTTGGACGGTGACCGTGAATATCATGCAAGAATGACTTATCATTGGCTTATACTCTGTATCTAAGTCTTAATGTGTTACTTGGAGGCAAACTGATTGCCGGGCGCTGCAGAGTGTGTTCTCAGTCCAGACACTACATGCTCGTGTCAACAACAGCAGAGGAAATAAGGTTACGTGAACTGGTGTGCTACGTGGTCTCTCGCGCCGATACGTGTGTAACTCCTGATCCGCTGTTTTGATATCCTTAGATAGATAAAAGAAATAAACACAACAAGAAAGGGTATAAAAAGAACCATCCTCTACACGCGACGTTTCATGGGTTCGACAAAGCTGCTGGTAAGCTAGAACGAGATGATTCGTTTGGACGTGGATCTTGGCTGGAGACTAAGATTGTCTCAGAAGACAAAAAGAAGCGACTTGCAATCATTTGGGACGAATGCGACCGTCGGGAATCGAACCCGACTCTATTGCTAACATTGACGATGAATGGAAGGCAATAATGCTAACCACTACACCACGGTCGCTGTTGGAGATATCAAAAGGTTTTGCTGGCTAGCTTATATCGAAGTGAGCGCAACTCTTTGCAGAACACGCGGCTCTTTGTCCCGGCCTTGGGAGAAGTTGACAACTGATCACTTCCATATGCCGTTCCTCACCACGGGTGTCACTACTTGAGAAAGCCCGCGCCAGTATAGCGACCATCAGGTCTTCAATGATGTATTAAGCTGCTATTTGTATGCAGGCGCCATAGTCGCAGGTATTAAAGCTAAGTGTTCTCATACTGCACCATAAAAGACTACCCAACGACCATCCCAACCTTCAAACTCTTCCGCAATATCCTCGGATGTTTGTTTCCATGGAATCTGAAATGTCCCATGGTTAAACTCCGTAGAGTAGACAGTTGGGCTTGTCTTCGCTTCGAGCTCTGCCCTTATCTCCCTTAAAGCTGCCCGAGTTTGTGCCACAACTGTTGGATAGTCGTCTTTCCCTGGCTTTCCTGTCATAAATTGCTCCCTTCCATATCCATAGCTGACGAACAAACAGACGATATTTATCCTCGGAGCACCTCCTTCTACGTCCGATGTCTCTGATGGTATGATGAAGCATTTCCCAGCAAGACTTTGTGATGACCATTGATTGGTGGGGTCCGTTCTGGCTGATTGACAATGCTCTTTGTATTTCTTAAACGCTTGTGGAAAATGGAGTTTGAGCTCGCTTGCGAAGCCGCGGCTCCATACACCGATGCAATTTGTCGCGTGGACTAGGTAAACATCTTCAGGGAGGAGTCGAATGCCGTTGAGTGATTCCGACTCGAACACGAATGTTGATGCTGCCATCTTGGATTCGATACTGGTAAGATGGATTGAGCGTAAGATGGATTGAGTGTAAGATGAATTGGATGTGAGATGAATTGAAAAGAATGAATGTGGACGATTGGCCGTATTTGTGGTAGATGAGTACCTACTGCCTTACTTATATGCGACATCGTTGACTGCGAGAAGGTGGCCGGTTGTGCCACATCGGCGAGGCAGGTAGCTCTGCTAATTGTTGAATAGGTAGGTAGGTAAGGCTGAGCTACCTAGTTGACTTATACCTGTATCTTGTTCGGTACGAACGAAGATAACAGGCTAAGACGATAGTGTTGCAGAGGCGAGTTCTTTGAACGTCACTGCTCTCGACCTAAACTTGGACAACGATCTTTCGTCTCGCTCAATCGCCGTCTAATCACGACACAACAAGACACGAAAGAATGCCCTGGCTTTGTTTCAGCATGCGCAAATTGATAGAGTATGAGCGACTGACTTCTCCATTAGATATAATGAATGAAAGGTCTTGGCTCAAATCCCCAACACAGTATTCCGGTGTTGGTCACACATCTACTCTCCTGTCACTCCGCAAAAGCTCAGGGCGTTGTCATTGCCTTTAGTAGAATGGTATGGCATAACTAGCAAAATGCTTCAGAAATATGGATTATCATCCTTGTAGCCGATCAGTATGGCAATTCTCGTTGCTTTGACTTGCATACTCGGCATTTGCCAATTGTCCGTGATCTTTACCGAGCTCCGTCATCATTCGCCCACAGCAAACTCGACCGGTGTTCGGACGAAGATTTCACCACCTTGTGAGCTGACAAATGTTGAATGAATACCGAATGACATGATCGAGGATAGAATAGTTTTAAGGTGAGTTGTTGAAGATGTATAAGTAGAGGGGTGGACACAACCCGATCGAGAATGTCTGACCACCCACTCATCTGACTACTTTCATCACTTATACGAATAAGTCTACATAACAATGGTATCCATCCAAGTCGTGAAACAATCCAACGCTGGAATAGCGTCTCTTCCCAAAGGCCTCGTTGCCCTGTTCATAGGCGCAACATCAGGCATTGGGCAGAGCGCGCTTCAACAATTTGCTCAACTAGCACCTGCCCCTCGCATCTACACTGTCGCTCGTCCGCAAACAGCTCCTTCTCATGAAAACCTCCTGGCAAAGTTGAAGCAGTCTAGCCCTGAAGGAAGTTACAACCTCATCACGGCCGACGTCTCTCTTATTTCAGAGGTCGGCAAGGTTGTCAAGGCTGTCAAGCAGAATGAGACCAAGGTCGACATCCTTTTCCTATCCGCTGGCTTCATGCCCTTCCAGGGCCGAGAAGATACCAGCGAGGGTCTCGACTCATCAATGACAACACGCTATTACTCTCGGCTCCGAGCCGTGGAGCAACTCCTGCCCTTACTCAACGATGCCTCCAGTCCACGCATTGTCTCGGTGTTGGCAGGAGGCTTAGAGGCGCCACTAAACGAGGATGACTTGGACCTGCGAAACCCAAATAACTGGTCAACCTGGAACTCGTCCTTACAGTCCGCTACCATGGGCACACTGGCCCTTGAGAAAATTGCTCGAGAGAACCCTCACATCAGCATCGTCCACTGGTTCCCTGGTCCAGTAGACACTCCTGCCTTGGCCAGAAATGTCAAGTTGGGTCAGCAACCGTCACCGAATGCCATGACTCAGGAGGATGCCGGCGCTCGTGCTCTGTTCTTTGCTACGAACGATCGTTATTCCGTTCATGGGAGTCTTGTACCTGCCCCTGAAGGAGAAGAAACGCCAAAGAAGTCAGGAGGGGGGATCTTTCTGCTCAATCCTGTGGGCGAGAGCACGGATAACGAGCGTGTGCTGGGAGGACTCAGAGAACGGGGTGTTGATGAGACTGTTTGGAAGTTTACAAAGAAGATATTTGCGGCTCACAGTGGGATCGGTAATTAGTTTTTGAGTGCTTGATAAATCGAATCTTGTTCATTCTTGTGTTAGCTGCCGTGTAATGACTTTGGGGTGTACTGTTGAAGCTCTGAAAGCCTGGGGCGGTAGTCTTGACAAGCCAATCTTGGAGAAGTCCAGCTGCCCAAGACTGACTATTCAATGCATAGACGAAGGAGCACGAATCTATTTGTATGATCGAACTCATGATGTTCTGGTGTTGGGGAGGCTCATCCAGGCCCCCTGAACTCTACTGACCAGAGAAACTCTACAACACGCCGCTCACAAACAACCTTTTTTCATAGATCCCACTGGCAGAAATCACCATTAGAGGTAGTCTTATGAACAAATTTACATCTAATGCTCAGTACCGGGCAGTGAAGGAATGGCAAGTGCCGGTGTCCAGAGCCCTACAGGTAGGTCCGTAAACTGTAAATCCTCCACACCACCACAAGCGTTGTCGGTTCGAAACCCATCGTAGAAGAAAAAGGAAAAGATAAGAAAGAAAAGATAAGAAAGAAAAGATAAGAAAGAAAAGGTAAGAAAGAAAAGGTAAGAAAGAAAAGATGAATGATGAAAGAATAAGTTCTGGCATACGGAACTTGCTCTATATCTTCTGACATCTTTATTATTTTGCCTGCTGTGTTTGTTTTTGACTCCCGATCAACCCTCTTTTCCATTCAATCTTCCCAGACAGAAATACCCCAATTTTTGTTTAGACACAGTTTAGCAAATTAGCGACAATAACTCCTAGACTCTTTTAGTAATGCGCGTATTTAAGGTGGTGGCTACAAACCTGTAGTCTTCCTAGATTCTCATTCGCATGCCCGTTATCGTGAGGCGAGAGCAACAAGCCTGCCAAATATTTCTTGGACTCCTGGACCTTGATGACTTGCTACCGCAGTGTCAGAAGCATTCAAGTAAGACTAAGGTGACATACCTGCTCAAATGAGTCTCGCACGAAGAATCGTACAGTAGTTACCTCGCGTGCCTGTCCGATGCGATGAATACGCGCCAGCGCTTGCTCCTCAAGAGTCGGGTTCCTAGTCAATCAGTCACTCGTCAACCATTTCTGGGCAGTTGGACTTACCAATGTGGCTCCATGAGGTAGGCTCTTGTTGCTACCGTCAAAGTGAGACTAGAGATTATCAGTGGTCTGGGACACTTGAGGTAAGTAGGCAGTCAAGAGTCACTTACCCAGCTGCACCGCAAGACAATGTCAAGAGCATGACACGGACTGATGGATCATTCCTGAATCTGTCCACAATATTCTGTCGATCTTTCTGTGGAACTTTGCCATCAAACCGGACGCTTGGAATGGACGACTGTGCTAGGCCAGCTTCAACAATATCGAGCGTCAGCCTCCAAGTCGAGAACACAATGCTACGCCAAGTTAGTAACTGGATATTACTACAGTTGTCGGATGCAAATAGTTCCTACCATTTCTCGTTCGGAGGCAGAGCTTTAATATCCGTGACCAATGCCTCTACTTTCGATGGCAAGCCCATACCCAGCTGTGGCTGCATGTCTGGCAGACTCGATTCGAGGGAGCGCCCACTCGTCGAGACGGAGCTCATGGGACAGCAAGGGCTATGGGCACATCCGGCGTTTTGTCCAGACCTAAGCGCGCATTCGGCGCAAACAAAGGCAAGACAGCTGAAGAACACGGGACTATGGTGCATAAACGCTGGGTCCTCAAGGAACGTTTCTGTGATCTCAAGCGTGGAGGAGCATTGCCGACACGCCATGGGTCCCATGTCCCGCTGCAGATTAAAGGTACTCTGTGCAATTTTCGTCCAATCTTCAACCTCTTGCGTATTCTGAGAAGTCTTGGCATGTCTGGTGTAATAGTGCAGTCCCAAATTGCAAACAAGTCGTAGCGACTCGATCTGCTGCAGGACATTGACATAAGCTCCCGATCTAGAGGAGTCGGAATCCTTTCTCAGAGCCTCATCTATGCTGATGATAGTTTGATCGCGTAGCTTATCGTATAGTGCTCGCTCTTCCAAACTGAAGTCGACGGGGCATTGCAAATCTCGTCGGGGTGGAAGGCTGACTGTTCCTTTGTCTCGTCGGAGAAGAAGGCACTTTGATAGACGTTTGAGCCTCTTAATTGCTTCTTGATACTCGCCGGTCTTCCATAGACGAGAGATGTCGGTATCGAAGCATTTCCGGTCGGTGTAAGGATGAGCTCTGATGAACTTGAAGAGAGTTGCGAGGTCACCGAGGCGGTTCTGGATGGGGGTACCGGTGACCGCCCACCGTG